ACGTGAGACGGGAAGCGCACTGAGATGGGGGGGGGGGTAATCATACTTAGGGGTAGGATGAATTGAGGGGATGACACTGATACATATGAATAGAATAGAATACTAACAATGTAAAGATAATCAAACTTTTGAATATACGAGTACCCTGTATCAAGAACTCAGGGCACATCCTATGCATTATTTTCATAGTTTCCAGTTCCTGTCACAAAACGAGAACAAATCTGAATTCTCTATTGTCAACTCCGTAACAGAACTTGTCAAAACTCACAGAATTCATCCATATACAGTGACAATATGAAACGTACAGGTTGACTTTGAAAAGTGAAAACTGAAAAGGCAGTACACCATCCCTGTAGCACAATTGACCTCGTAAGGAATATGTACGATTCAAATGACATTATTCCCACGCCCATAATTCCTGAAGAATATATGTGGGAGTATTTAGAAATTGTTTTTTTTTTTTATTGTACATCCGCTGGTTCATTTGCCAAATGTTTTATGCTGTTTACGCCCTCGCCGTTGAAAAGGAGAAAGTCTAAATGTGAAGAAAACTGTTTGTTGCCTAAAAGTATGGTTCACAACTAAAATTATTTACAAAAAAACGAATACATTTTGTATTATGCGATAAATTTTAGAATTTTACATTCCCTAGTTTATCAACTAAATATTTGTGATATTTACGCCCTCGTTGTTGAAAAGCATTGTCCAATTTCTTTAACAAATTTTCTTCTTAAACTAAATAATTCCAAATGAAACACCACATGCCGGGTGTTGTTTTCCGAAGGATGAAACAAAGATAGTGGTAATAACATGAATAATTATTTTTTTGATTAAATTTCTCATGAATTGGCACCAGTTTTAGCATGTATTCTTTTAGGAGTGGTCACCGTTGATAGATACAACGCCTATTTATATAAAAACAAAGTAACACTTGGATATCGCCACTTGTGGTATCAACTCCAAGAACACTACAAAAGCGTTCTCATTTCGTCGCAAAATGTCTTTGCACCAAAAGTTCAACAATAAGTAAGAGTGCATACTGTTAAGTAACAATACCTCGGCAATACAATATTTCAGATGTTCACATACACGTTTGAAAATTGAATAGACTAACCATAATTAAATGCTCAATCTTTCTAAAAAAATTATTGAAAATGTATTATAAATTTATGTACACAATACAATTTAACACAAATTGATATTGTACATATTTACAAATACTGTTTAAATATAGTTATTATATAAATATTATTATATGTATACTTATTTTAATAAAAGTATATGAAAATATATAAGTAAACTTTAATATGGTTGTCACAGATATATTTACCACATGGGCCTAATTGATAATTTACATGTAATACTGATATGGCCTGTAATCCGTCTTTGCCCTTCTTGGACTGCATGAAGGTCATTCATAATGTCTTACTGGTATAACCTCAAAAGAAGACCATGCTTCAGGAAAATCCCCATGTTTCTTTCCAATACGACCTCATACGACCTGACCTTTTATGCAAATCAACCCACGTGGTTTGGTCGTGAATAAAACTTTCCCATTTATGTTGATTCGTTCATTTACTGGGATTTTCCGTACGGTACGTAACGCATCAAACATGGCTTTCCAACTCAAGAGAGTGCTCATCAGCGACTCGCTGGATCCTTGCTGTGCAAAGATACTAGAATCGAACGGGATTGCTGTCGACACCAATACAAAACTGACGAAGGAACAGCTTGTGGCTGAAATACCGGTTAGTAGATTTGAACCGCACATGCTGTCCACTAGTCGGCGTTGAATCACCGCCACGACTTGCCCTCTATTTAACCCATGAACGTAGTGGAAACTACCGATGCCCTATTGCCACACGTGTCTCACTGTTTGGGGTTAGAAGTTGGTTGATTGAAATGTCGAATATATTTTCAGACGCAGACCCCGGCTAATAGATCGACATATTTTTATTTCGTATTTTTGAGTCGTTAGTTCTGCGGTATGTGCTCTATTAATTAAAGGCCATCTAAAAAATAACCCGGCAGCATGTAATGAGCACGTCGCAATGGTGGTCGGACAGTCGGTGACAAATTCAGCTTGACGTTTCATTCAGTGGCGAGGTGTCCGTATGGCGCGATGAGGTCACGTCATTGCTCGATGCCGTAAAGAAGTACGTTACAACGTTATCTTTCGAATCAAAATAAACATTTATACGATATCTGCGACAGTGACTGACCGCAACTATGTTTCTTTCAAGAATTACTAAATTCTCAACTGTGTCAACATTTTATGTAAAATATTTCATATAAATATTTTCATATTTTGCTGTCAGCATTTGCTACTAGACTAATTGTTGTTCATTAGTAGCTAGCAACACGGGGTGGTTATTTCCTAACAAATTCTTAAATGAACATGATTAACTGAAACAAAATTGAATACAGAAAATTTTTTTTTTTTGCAGTCAGTTTTCCCCATTACTTCCCACCCCAAATGTTTTGAATGGTGTACCCTTAATTATGGATTGTTTATATAAATCATCAAATTATAACTGTAGTCTGTAATTGGGGGTTGGGGGGGGGGTCATACGTTTTATTCAAGTGCTGGTCCGTTTCATTTAGCATTTGTGCTGACTGGACTGTTTCACCTTTGACCCTGTTATTGGTATTGCAATGATGCATTGACGATATTCATTTAATCTGATTGAATGTAACAAATTTACAATTATGCTAAATGCATAAATTTCACCTAGAATTAAAAAAAGTTGCATTGTGTGATTAATTTATTTTTTATAGAATTTCAACTATGAAGCAATACATGTAGTTTTCAAAATACAACAATTACAGTATTCACAAAAATATCCAGATCACAAGTTTTTTTTTCAATTTGTTTGAATATGATGAACAAATAAAAATGATAAAAAAAACGGCGTTCCTATGAATTTGGTTGTCATAGTTATCAGCATCTTAAGGTGTTGTTGTATTGCATTAAGGATACAAAACTTGCTGATTTGCATAACAGAGTGTATCTTATTCAAAGTGTCTTATTAATGTTTTATTTATATTGCTTTGAACCAGTCAGTTTTCTGTTCTAACTGAATTTGGAGGATTTTCACGGAATTATTTTCACTTGGTGATTTTTATTGAAAATTGTAATTAAATAGTTCTAGTTGGGTGCTCACAATGGTTTGTGATCATAAATTTTCAAATGTAAATGACGAATAATGTGACAAGAGGATAGTGTTTGTGAATTTGTGAATTGAAAGGAGGAAATGATGCACAATTATAGAATTTATGAATAGAATCGTGAACTTCAGCCATTCAAGTTCAATTTGATGCATTTCAAGCCAGTTTTTAAATTGATATGATTTCACAGAATGTTAGCATGAGATTAGTTTCACATTTTTATAAGCAGAATGTTGGATGTTTATCCCATCGGAGGTTTATTTCTATCACTAACAACTACATTTATAATTTTTTTTTTTTGTAGAAGTATGATGGCTTGATTGTTCGATCTGCAACCAAGGTAACGGCCGCAGTGATAGAGGCTGCAACCAATCTGAAAATTATCGGTCGTGCTGGGACTGGGGTCGATAATATTGACCTCAATGCATCCTCCAAGAAAGGTGTCATTGTAATGAAGTAAGTAGCTGATTGGGCCGGTATTGATGAGAAAGCGAGGAGCTGATTGATCGGATTGATGAGAAGGCTAGGAGCTGATTGGCTGGTATTGATGAGAAAGCTAGTAGCTGATTGGCCAGTATTGATGAGAAGGCTAGTAGCAGATTGGCTGTTATTGATGAGAAAATGAGTAGCCTAATAATAGTAATAACATTTTGTTCTCAATATGACCTCTAATTGAGGTACAAAAGATCAACATTTACATTTGACATAGTTATTAAATTGAGAAATGAAGCCAATTGGCTGGTAGATGATTGGCTGATACAGATGAATGTGAGAAAGGGATATGCTGATTGGTTAGCATGGGGGTCTTCAGAAAGTATCTGATTGGAATGCATAGGCAATTTGAAAAAGCTAGTTGCTGATTGGCTGTCATAGGTTGTGTGATATCTTGAAGGCAATTTTTATCAATGGAAGATAAAGCAACTGTAAAGCAATAAAGAAAAAAATCATTCATTTTGTAAAATATCATCTCAATACGTCAAAGTTGCGAACACAAAATGTTAATAAAATCATAAATTCTGCTGATCATAAAATACAGAAGTCAGAAGTTCATAATACAAGTGGGGTCATAAAGATTAAGTATATTCTATAGTTTTATTTTAATAGATGTCTTAGAGCTGCAGTAGTCACTCATAATAGAATAGTTGTCAGCAGAGCAGTCAAGGAGATAAAATAATAAACATTAATTTTTTTAATCTTATCTTTTCATCGTGTACATGTTGTCAGAATAGCAGTCTGTAAGGGAATGTATCGGTAGTCTGTAATTCTGTGATTTACAAATGTGTGTTTAATGTTTACATTAAT